GCCTTTGTTGTTGCTTCTATGCAATTTATTGAAGAATTTATTGCTTTTGTTGATGTTTCATAAACACAAAACTTTTTCTGTTGATCCTTTTGTTGGATTTATTAATGTTAACATTAAATTGAGTAAGCTCCGCGAATTTTAAAAAAAGCTATAAACAAATTTTAAACGTTGATTTATTCTGCACAATATTTATTGAGCTATATATTTTTTTAATAAAAAATACATATATTGCTGTCAATGTGTAAATATAAGAAGCTCAAACATTATAAAACGATTTACTCAACGTTAAAGCCTTGACCTCGTCGATCTTATTAATTAGCATGTTTTATTTATACTTATTAACTATGCCATGGAAATATGCAGTTTTATTTGGGATATAAGCAAAAAATGTATAATGGCATTTTAGCCAAAAACAGCTGTTCGCTTTGATTGCTTGTGAGCACTTAAAGATTATCAGACAAATGTTATAGTAACAATAAACTGTGGCCACGGGTAACTGGGCTAAAAAAAAGAGCTCATTGTAATGACCAGAGATGTGTTAGTCATGGCTTTGCTGCTATTGCATTTTGGGTTAGGCCCAGCTGTGAAGTTGTCGTTGTCAGCGCTGTTGTCGATGTCGCCACTGCCAAACAATGGTGTTGAATGGTCATCATGGGCAGTAGCATCAGTCTCAATAATTGACATTGTAAATTTTGAGCTGTTTGTTGGGGCCGGTCGCACTATTTGCCAGCGCTTATGGTGCATAATGAAGCGTTAAAATGTAACTCGCAACAGCAGCAGCAGAAAGCAGCAGCAGAAGGCAGCAGCAGACGGCAGCGGCAGCGGCCGCGGCAGCAATAACCGCAACAACAGCCACAACAATTACAAATAGCTTTATACACTTGCCGCGTTGCTGACGGAAGCATTTTTGTGAACTTTTTTTTTTTTTGGGAAAGCATTTGCAGTGCGTGTGAACCAAAGAAAGCGAAAAAAAATGGGTCAGCCAAGAGATGCTGCGGCTGCGGCTGCGGCTGCTTACGCAAACAGCGCTGCCCGCTGGACAGTGTCTCTCTTTATGTAACACATCAACACCCAAAAACCAACACAAATACACATACAAATACACATACAAATACAATGAAAAAACATAAAAATAATTACATATTTAGCTGGCATATTTGCGGTGCAAAGTCCAATGCGAATAGGGCGTCGAATGGCAAAATTCTGACATACAACAAATTAACAGACAGCAGATCAGCATGAGTTGGCAAAATGGAATGCCAGCCATATTAAATCGTTAAGAAATATCAATATCTGTGTATGTGAATGTGTATGTGTGTGTCTTAAGCTTAATTAGTATACTATTCATTTTACCGGTGAACTTGTACACTGAGCAAAACAGTTGCAAACAAATTAAATGGGAATATCTCATAAATTGGCTAAATATCTTTGAAATTAAAAAAACAACAATCGAAAAAATTCAAAGCTTAGCTCAAAAAGTGGAGCAATTTTTTAAAGGTCAATGCATTTTTTTTGTGAGTGTATACATCTTACCGGTGCGCTTTTAGTGGTCAGAATCTGACAGACAGTCTCGTAAAAATTCCACGCGTCTTGGTTTAGTTTTGGGTTAACGCACACATTTAAAATATATAATTAAATATTCGCATTCGCAGCCGATATTTATACAAATACCGGTTGTTGGTTTGAAGTTTGTGCATAATTTTGGTTTTGTTGTTTGTTGATTTATCTGGGAAAGGTTCAACAAACCATAAAATTCACGTCAATAATTTGGCGAGCTTATAATTCAATTAGGTTCGTCTGATTTGCTTACAAATGTGAATATTTGTTGTTGTTGTTGTTGTTACAATTGTGCTGTTGTCAGCATTAGCTGCTGATTTAGTGCTTTCTAAGCCCACCCACAATTCGCCTGAATTGAATTTTATGATGAAAATAATGCGCAATGGATTTTGTAGAAAAGTAAACAATGATTTGAATATATCTATTAAATGTCAAAATGTGCGAAGCATTTAAAGATGCCTCATTATTTGATCAAGCTGCAACAGCTGCCTGTGCCTCAAACTGTAGCGACAAGTGCGAACATGTGGGATCGATTAACGCGGATGTTTTTTCAAAGAAATGCAAAACAACAACAACAGCATGACTTGCGATTTTTTTGTGTGTGTTGCTGCTTGGATTAAGGTTTAACACCTACGCACAACACTTGTTAATCATCTGGCAGCGGGTGCAGCAGCAGCTGGCAAGTTCGTGCCTTAAATCTTTTGTTTTGGACGGCTTACGTTTTGTACGCTGATCAAATCAATCAGGCAGGCAGATAAGCAGTCAAAGAGACTTTGACATATGCTTGCAAAGTGAATTGATTGATTAACGGTTAATTGGCTGCATTCGCGGTTTCCGTATTACATTTTTTGTCTGCCTAAACACTGAGTAAATTGAATCATGGTTCGTTCTATGCGGAAATTCTCGAACTAAACTGGTTCACTTGATGTCCGACTATCAAAGTGAGAGACAAAACAAACAAATAGACAATCAACGAACATTTGAAGTTAATTACACTAAGTGGCCGTCAAATGTATATTATTATTTAAGCCTTAATGTGTCGATGTGAGCGGCTGTAACCTGTGAGAAAAACTGGTTTAATGACGCCCCAGCATAGTTGAGACTTTCGACTTGCAGTAATTTTCCTGAATTAAAGCCATAAAATCAGTGAATTTATACACATATTGACGACCTTAGTTAACTGCATAAATGAATATGAACTGCATAAGATGAATATCTCAATTATTATCCGTTTAATACTTGTACAGTTATTATATAAGATCTACACACATTCTACTTGCCCGCTCGCGAAAGCGATTGTCTTGTGAAAATTCAGCTTGAAGTCTCAGTGCCGGAAGCACTTTTATCAAATTTGAATTTGGCTCTTTATTTTTATGTTTGTTTTGCTTGTTTCGGCGTGGTCTGCGTAATTATTTTAAATTCAATTAAGCCGCATGGAATACATAGCTGATCTCTTAAGTAGCCGCGCTCGCATAAAAAGTGAAAATCTCTGCGCGTAATTAGATGCAATCAGTGTCTGCGTTTTTCAGCTGGCAAATTATGGAAACGTTGGGTATTTCGGTGGCATCATTGTGAGTCGCAAGCCATGATTCATGCTGGTGGCAGTTCGATTATAGGGTTGACAGCGAATTTTATTATAGTGTATTGCGTCATGGAAATAATGCCAGTCATTCGCTGTGGGAGCCCTTGCTTGGAGACAGTGCGTATGCGTGATATGTGCGATGTGAATAGGGGATCAACCCACTAGAAGTCGATTGCGTAAAATACGGTTGAGAGCACAGTATGCCACACGCAATCATTAAGCCAACTAAATACAAGTCTTACCACACATACTCAGAAAGCGATAACAATAAAAATCATGGCCTTGCATTTTTTCTAGCATCACGAAAAAAATTGCCAACCAAACAACTCGGTGGAATTCTCCAGCCAATAATTACAGCTAGTACTTCAGACAGACACACACACACACACACAGCACTGACCACACCCGCTCACCTGCACTCATCGCAGCACAGCCTCCAGGCTGAGCGGTGCACTGCCTAATGGCAGCCACTGTGCCTTAATGAACCAAGCAAACTTCATGACTTGACGCTCAACGCTCCAACCGCTAAATGCTAAATGACGTAGTTGGGGTGTGTGTGTGTGTGTGGACAAGATAAATAAGCATTGTTTTTTATTCTATTTTTTTTTGATAGACTGCCCACCTGACCAACTTTTGGTGCCAAATACAAATGCCTCTGCATGACATGCAGATGAATGGGCCAAAAGGTGGCTTAGCCAAAAGGCTAAATTACGCAATTAACCGCAACAGCCACAGAATGCAGGATAAATTAACATGCAGTGGTCGCTGATTTCATACATTTTCCAAACGTGCAACAGAGCTGCAACTGACTTGTGGCATTCTTTAGAAATAACTTTACAAAGGCTGCGCGAAAATCAAAGCAATTAAATTAGAACGAAGTTGAAAAGATCACATTTGATTTGAAAATAATAACTAATAATGACTAAAGCGATTGAAAAAAATGGGATTTTTTTTTTGCAGCTACAGAAAATACTCAATTTAAGTTTTTTGCAACATAAAATTTTCAATCAATTATGAAGAATTTTTAAAATTGCACAGGTGATTTATTACGTATTTAATATATTATATTTTGCATGAAGCTTATAAAAATTAACGTGGGTTTAACAAATTTGATTTTGATTACATACCAAATCACCTATATGATTGTTGGGCACATTCCGTATTACCCCATTAAGCCCCCAGATCTCTTGTAAGCTTGAGCTTGAGCCCCTGCAATTTCCAGCTAATTAGCTTAGCCCCTTCTTGGGTGTGCAATCATCACAGACGTGTTTTTTATTTCTATAATTACCATTGTCTAACTATTTAAGCAATGATTAGCAATTAGCATAACATGTTTAGTTTTCCATTTCACTAATAATTCAAATAATTGCATGCTTATAATCACAATCACAATGCATTCCAAAGTACATTCGTTTTTTTTCCTGTTCCTGTTAGTTGTCCCCACTCTCCAGACATTACCAGGTGGGGATTCTATTGCAACAGTTTAGACCAGTTTTGTGTAATACAATTTATATTGTTATATTGGCAAAATCATTGCCCAAAATCTAGCAGCCTGGTAGCCGGTTTTTCTTAATGTTTTCGAGCGGCATTTTTGCAAATGATCAAACCGTAGATCAGGTGGTAAATAGTCGGTCAGACAGGTCGATGCAGCGGGCACACATAATTATATCAACATATATTGATCGTGGGCATACTTTGATGGATTTGCTAGATTGCAAGGTGTTTTGTAATGCGGCTTATATTGATTTGACATTTGAACCCATCGGCAGCCAAGGCTGTTTGACTGCCTCAAGTCCATTGCTTAATATTGGCTTGACTAATGATTTCTTATTTCATTTTTTTATTTATCGTTTTCTTGTAGGAGTACCTCTCACAGTTTTATGATGGCTGGCGGGATCTTATGGACAACAAATCAGATCCGCGCACCCGTGACTATCCGCTTATGGGCTCACCGTTCCCAACGATAGCAATCAGCTTGACATATGCATATATTGTAAAGGTAAGTAGCAGCTTGTCCGATGGGGAAGCACCACGGCACATATGGTATTTAGTAGGCGTTCTCGATTTATAATCACGTCGTCTGATTGGATGTAAAAAAAAACTTTAATGAGCACGTGAAGTGTACCACTTAAGGCACTGGGATTTTTTTCTCTTTGTCTTCCAATTATTGTTCTCGCTGATTCTAGAGCCCGGATCCGTAAATTCACATTTGATGATGTTGTCTGTCATGTCCTGCGTCAGCGCGTCATCAAAAACTAGTCTTCATTTTATGGCATTGCTAAAATAAAAGAGTTCAGGGCCAGTCGTCCCATTCAAAAACGATGCCAATCAGCAGCATTCAATGCGAGACGTTGATGTCGAAATTGCGACCCAAGTCGACTAAAATTACATATGCAAAAAAAAAATGTAAAAAAAAATGTATTTTTAAAAACCTTAATCCAAAAACGATTTCTATTGAGGTTTCAGCTTTGCATTGCTTTACATTTGTATACATATATATGTAATCATTTAAATGGCTTTCACATGATCTCCAAATAGCGCACACACAAAAGACTTAGGCAACGAACTCGTCCCAAAATCAACATCAGACAGCCTCCGATTGATTTGATAATTGCAGCATCTCGCCTTTGTTTGAATTTGTATGTTAAATGGGCAACGGTAATTAAAAAGCAGTGCTTGCCAAGCCATCGAACGGGTTAAAAAAAAAGTTGGGCCTTTCAGCCAAGTCTGGGCTGATTAAGCCAACTTGGAATATGTATATAAATAAGATGATTAGTCATCCAAGAATTTAATTTGTTAACTTGACTTATGGCTGAATAAAATAGTATTATATATTCCAATATATTCCAATATACTTTCTATATACTATCTATTGCTCAATCATAAATTGCTTTCAATTCAGGTACTGGGACCTAAACTAATGGAAAACAGAAAACCCTTCGAGCTGCGCAAAGTTTTGATTGTTTACAATGCGATGCAGGTTCTTTTTAGCATGTGGCTGTTCTATGAGGTAAGTGCCACAGTTTAGAGCAACGCTCCAAAGATCACAATTAAATAAGCATTTCATATTTATAGTCTTGCATAGGTGGATGGCTGAATGGCTACAGCTTAAGATGCCAGCCCGTTGATTATTCGTATTCACCCGTTGCGATACGTGTAAGTATAAAGATTGGTATATAAGTGGCTATAAATATATATATATGTATATACACATGCATATATGTATATAAGTATGGGTTTTATGATTTGGCAAATTCCAGAAAATGTTTGTTTGACTGTGCCAGTTTTTCTGCATTAAAGCAACCAGTTTTTGGTTAAACAAAGAACCGTTCTTATGCTAATCAGTTAATGACAAGTGTCTATGGCGATGTCGGTCGGCCGGCACTATGCTAAATTTTGCTTAGATTGAAGCGTCACGTGTCGTTAAAAATTACCAAAAGAAAGTGCCAGAACTTAGAAAGCCAGAAATTTGGGGTCAGAAATGGGACAACAAATTATGTATATGCATAACAGTTTAGCAATTCGAGAACTGGAATTCAGAAATCTAGACGAATCTAAAATTTTATATCACTGGATAATGTGACAAGCCCTAAAAAATACACCGTTGACATATGAAATAAATTAAAGAGAATATCAAAAATATTTGGGCTTGTATGATTTGTTACATTTATTCACAGATCTTTAGCTAGTTGGATACAGAAATCGTATTAAAATAAATAAGAATCAATTTTTGTATCAAATCTACAGGCTTAAAACTGTTTTAAGAATGGTTCCTTTAAAATATAGGAGATTAAAACCAATTATATTTCATTCTGCTTTCAAAATTTATCCAAACAAATTAATGAATTTAAAATATATTGAATTAAAAACAATTATATTAATGTGGCTTAAAATTGGGTCTTTAAAAATCAATTTATTAAAAATAGATTAAATTAAAATAAAATATTTTATATTTATTATATGCCTCTAAATTGGTTACTTAAAAATCAATTAATTTAAACTATGGTCAATTAAAAATAAATATGTTTAATTTTGTATGGCAAAAATTGATTTTCAAAAAGAAAAAGTAGTTGCGTTAAAACAATTGCGGTCAATTTGGATCAGAAGGGTTTTATTTTGAAATGTTTATTTATTATTTGAAACAAATGCTTATATTTCATTTGACAGACTACAAAGGGCTGCTGGTGGTACTACTTCTCCAAGTTCACAGAGTTCTTCGACACGTTCTTCTTTGTGATGCGCAAGCGATATGATCAGGTGTCCACACTGCACGTGATACATCATGGCATTATGCCGGTGTCCGTTTGGTGGGGCGTCAAATTCACGCCCGGTGGCCACTCGACATTCTTTGGATTCCTGAACACATTCGTGCACATCTTCATGTATGCGTATTACATGCTGGCTGCGATGGGACCCCGGGTGCAGCGTTATCTCTGGTGGAAGAAATATCTGACTGTGCTGCAGATGATACAGTTCGTGCTGGTCATGGTGCACTCGTTCCAGTTGTTCTTCAAGAACGATTGCAACTATCCCATCGGATTTGCCTACTTCATTGGCGCCCATGCGGTGATGTTCTATTTCCTGTTCTCCAACTTCTACAAGCGGGCCTATGTGAAGCGCGATGGCAAGGTATAAATTTGAATGATATATATATATATATATATATATAGTTGGCTAATGCATTTTTATTGTTTCGCCGGCAGGACAAGTCGGCTGTTAAGGCCAATGGGCATGCCAACGGTGCGATGAAGCAGCTCAAGGATGGAGATATTACGCAACGCAATGGCCACCACACGACTGGTACTATGAATAGGTTCCACAACACATTCAACAAATTCACGACCGTTATGTGCAATCCGGCGTTGAACTCGAACACGAACTCGACGCGACAACGGATCCTTGTCAATGCGGGTAACAAGTGAAGCAAGTGAAGCCGTCGCTAGCCAAGCAGCCAGCCAGCCAACCAAGAAACAAAGCATAAATTAATTAAATGTAACAAAGTAAATTACCGTACCATTTAAATAAACATAAGCATAGGGAGTCCAAGCGTATTTCTAAGCCAAATCAATATCGAACTTTAAACAAAAACAAAAAGAAAGAAACAAAAAACAAAAAACCACAACAACATATTGTCGTAGAAATCCAATTTATTATTATTATTTCGTTGGATTTTTTTGATCAACAGAAATGTGTTTTTTATTTTATAAATAAAATCGAGATTGAAAGAAACTGAGTGATATCCGATACTGGTGGATTAATTATCGATCCCAAATTGTAATCGATGAAAACTGTCTTTTCGTTAAATGAAATTTTGTAATTGTGTCACTTAAGGTATAAATTAACTAACGTTAATTAAATGATTTAATGAGTACGACCATTCAAAAGACATTTAAAAAAGGGCTGTAGATACACTTGTCATGATGATTGAGCATATGCATGTAACACGTCCAGTGTTTCGCAGTGGGCAACCTCGGCTAGCTCAGTATTCCCAGAGGTGGGTAACTCCAACCCTGCCCGTGGACGGTACAGACAAAAAAAAACTCGACCTGCACAACCTACATAAAGACCTACATGCACACACGAAAACAAACGAAACAGCTGACGGGCCTGGTGTTTATGGCCACGACGTACCCGCCCTTCCTGCAATGGGCTTGCACGGATTCGAATTGCCCATCGCCCTTATTGTGGTTGACGACTAATTTATTCCATGCTCCCGGTGATTCTCCCCTGTATTTAACTTACTCACAGATCATCGTTATTTCCTTATAATTTATTAACAAACATTACATGCTATGAAGTATTAACTACTGAATAGGCCGCTAGGTAGCGTTGTATTCTGCAACGGCTATTCAATTTTGAATTTAAATCGGGAATCTTGCCAAATCCGATAAAACCAAAATAAAAAAAAAATGGAACAAATATGACTGTTACTTTAGGTGGTCCTCAATCCCTATCCTACCCTATTAGAGCTCCAATATAAGTATTCGGTGTATGGGGGGGCTCGTGCAAAAAGAAATGGATTCTGCAATTTGGCAAAAATCCGGACGCCGGATTTTGTTGACGAACACGGTCAACTTGGAAATTTAAATAATTATTAGATGCATGAATAAATAAATACAGTAACGTAAATAACGAATAACTTAACACAACATTCAACAAATTTGCTTAATCTAACATTCACATTTACATAAATATACTGGAGTAGGGGTGGGTGTGCTGGAGCACTGCTCACATGCGCGCAGTCGACTCGCACCCTTTTTTTCTTGACATGTGTTTCTCTTTTTTTTGTTTTTTCTTTCTTTTTACAATTTGTAATTTAATTTGGACTCTGGGTCGATTGCGCGTACTGCGCTCGAGCTACGCGGCTGGTTACTAAAGGCTTATCCCGATGGCACTTATTCCACATCGGAACGCACTCACCGGCTGAAGAAATACCGTCGGTGCGCTTGCGCGCTGCCAATATCAGGGGATGGTGTATTCGCCCAGTGTTTCCTCGCAGTAGCTTCGAGGGCGTATCCAGCAATCTTTGCGCGACGGCCAGGTCCTTGTTGCATCGACTTCGGAGCATATGACATAAATTGCACAATTGCGGCGTGACCTGCCGTCGGCCACCTAAACATAACCCACAAAATTAGCGCAGCACAACATTTATTCAAACAGACACACTTACGCCGAATTTGGCTTCACAAGGTCTAGCGAATATGGAGGGTCAAGGCACTCCTAAATGTACTTCACCATTCGATCCGCACGGCACACAAATTTAAGCGCTATGGACCACGACCTGCCTCACTGCGTTTTTTTTTTCTTTTCCACATGTGTTCTCGTCCCTAAGCTTAAACGCGCCACCTTGCGGAGAATGTCCTCACACGTTGCTGACCCTGCCAACTTGTTCCCGCTTTTCAGCAATGTGGCCCTTTAAATCTCACTTTTGGTTGTGGCATACGATAATTGAGTATCGATATGTCTGCAAATGCAACAACACACGAGAATTTAAAGTTAGGCGCCCGCTTGAACGATTAAAATTGTCGTCGCATTTCCTCCGTCTGCTCCGACCGTTGCCCATTGTGAACCTCGCCCAACGTAGGCCACACCCACGCTATATCCCCGTTAAATCCGAAGATCTTTAGCATGGACGACCCCTAGCGATCTTCCGTTTAGATCCTCTACCTCATACGCGTTGTTTCCTACGGCTCTAACAATCCTGCACTTGCGAAATTTTTTTGCGAATTTCGCGTTGAAGGCCTTGCTGAAGTCGCTCAGCACAAAATTCCGCCTATAAACTTCTTGGCCTGGCACAGCGTGAAACTTCCGAGCCCGCTTGTCGTACTGTTGCCGGCTGCGTTCAAACGCTTTGTGCAGATGCAGCCTCACCTGATCTTGAACTATTCGGATCTTGTCCTGCGTTTCTAAATCGGAGATGGAGTGTTCACCCATCGACCGTAGCTTCCGTGCGAGCTTGTAACTGGCTCCATTTAAATACATCTGCTGTCCAAAAACCGTAAAAAATGGTGTGACCCCGGTTGCCGAATGGACAGCATTACGAATCGCAACCTCAATTTCTGGTAAGAAGTGATCCCACTCTCTATGATCTTGCTCCAAATACGCGCGGATTGCTGCAAGCACGGTTCGGTTCACGCGCTCGGCTGCATTGCTTTGAGGGGAATATATGACCGTTTTCATGTGGGAGATCCCGAAAGCTTCGACCATATTTTCGAACTTCTCGGAAACGAATTGTCGACCGTTATCCGAATGGATGGTTTCAGGGTCATTGTCTGACGTAGCGTCTTTCATGGCCTTCAGAAACGTAAATTTCGAAAAGTGAACGACGACTACGAAGACCCATGCATGACCTCTTTTTGAGCGTGGGCACTTTCCCAAAAAGTCGATGTAAAATTTCTGAAAAGGTCGTTCGGTCTTAACCTCCTGCCCTATGGATACTTGAATCCTTTGGTTCGTGGCCTTCGTTTCTTTGCACACCATGCATTCTCTAACGTATTCACGAACTTGAACCGCCATGTTGGGGCAGAAGAATTGTCTCCGTAACAAGTGGAGAGTTTTCGTTACGCCTCCATGGGAAGCATTCGCGTTTACGTGAGCTTGTTCTATGAGCGTTGAAGTAAGAGATTCGGGCACCCATAACTTCCACAAAGTACCCTCGACTTCGTCTTCCATTCTTGTAAACCCGGTTCGTTTGTACAACACAAATCCGGTAATCGATCCTGATTTCTAATGACCTCCGCCACAATCTCTTTGTATTCTGCGGACTCGAATTCGACTGTCTGGAAACCTAGCATTCGGTTCAAGTCAAGCGCTAGTTCAGCTACGCTGCGAGATAGAGTGTCGGCGACGATGTTGTCAGCCCCTTTTCGGTGTTCGATTTGAAAATCAAAACGTTGCAGGCGCAACGACCACCTCGCTAAACGTCCGTTTAGGTCACGCAAGGACATAAGCCATTTGAGACTTGCGTGGTCTGTAATCACAGTGAACGGCATCATCTCGATGTACGGTCTGAACCTTTCGACAGCTAACACCGCGGCGAGACATTCTTTCTCCGTCACCGAGTAGTTTGCTTGGTGTTTATCCATCTTGGCGGAAAAGAATGCTATCGGTCTCTCATTGCCCTCGGAATCAACTTGGAACAGTACAGCCCCAACACCGTAATGTGACGCATCACATTGGACGTAAAACCTCCGCGAAAAGTCAGCATGCACTAGTACTGGGGCGGATGTAAGCGCCTCTTTCAACCTTCGTACCGCATCAGCTGCCTCGTCACTCAACTTAAACTTCCCTTTTTGACACCCTTTTAGTGTATCCGTCAGTGGTGCTGCTATTTCTGCGAAATTCTTGATGAATCGGCGATACCACCCGGCTGTTCCTAAAAAGCTGCGCACTTCCTTAGCGGATTTGGGATTCGGAATCCTTTGTATTGCAATCACGCGGTCTTGATCGGTCCGCAAAGTCCCTCCCCCTACTATAAACCCTAGATATTTCAGACTCTTGAAACAGAACTTCGATTTTTTTAATCCAATTGTCAAATTGGCCTCTTTTAGTTTCTGCGCCACGAGTCCCAAATATTTCATATGTGTATTAAAGTCCGGAGCTATAATCAGCAAATCATCCAAGTACACGAACACATTGGACCTAAGCAGTGACGGTATAACCCTATCCATTAAACGGCAAAGTCTTTGAGCGGCGTTACACAGTCCGAAAGGCATTACGACGAACTGGTAGAGTGGGCGGCCAGGCACCGTAAACGCCGTGTATGCTTTGCTGCTTTCGTCCAACTCTATTTGCCAGAATGCGAATTTCAGATCTACGCTAGAAATATAGTAGGTCTGATCGATACGCGAAAGTATCCCTTCGATGGATGGAAGTGGATAAGCGTCCTTGACGGTGACAGCGTTAAGCTTGCGAGCATCCAAGCAAAATCGGTTCTTGTCCGGCCTTCGCACTATTGTAATGCGGTTGCTCCACGGACTATCGCTTTCTTCGATAACTCCCAGGGCCAGCATCTTGTCCACCTCGCCCCAAACTACTTCCTCCATCGCCGGGGACAGCGGATAGTGTCGGTCTTTCACCGGAATAGCCCCTTCGATCAGTTCTATCTTATGTGTTTGTGCTGTTGTCTTCCCCAATCCTGCGTTTTCAAAGGACAAGAACTCTGCTTTTACCGTTTCTAATCGACTTTTTTGCTCCTCGTTCAACTCCCAAGCATCCACCTCCGGCTCTAAAGTTTTTTCCTCTACATAGTGCTCGATTGCTTCAACTAAATTTGCCTTCGATTCTTCAGAGGTTTGCGTTTCCATTGATCCCAATACATCAGGAGCTAATCCAAAAACTCGCCAGAAATCTATGCCTAAATATGCCGGCTGTTCGAGGTACGGACAAATGTAAAACGTCATGTCCTCCTCCTTTTCTCCGTATGTGACTCTGGTGTGTACCCGGCCTATAATGGATCGGTCCTCCCCAGAAGCGGTTCTCACGCTAGACACATAACGCTGCATGGGAACCTTGATCTCGGCCAGAAACTCACGAGAGCCACGCCCCAAAATACTCACTGAGGCACCGGTATCCAAAAGCCCCGCAATTTGTTTACCTTCAATGCTGACCTCGGCAAACACCCTCGAATCTCGATTATCTCCTCTCTTGACCGATTCCACAACTTGTCTTTTCACCAAGCGTCGCTTCGTGCATCGTTCGCGCGCCTTCTTCACCCTTTGCGTCACTAAACGCATCCCATCAAGCTTTCGTTCCTCAAAAATCTTATTCCTAGCTACCATATATGCCCTTATCCTTTCTTCATAAGGTAGGTGCCTTAATGTCCTACTATGCTTGCAATTTATACTAAAGGTACTCTTTGTTGGTGTATTAATAATTATTGAGTGGGAGTCGTTCGTGAGCGCACCTCTCCCGGTCTGGTCACGCCCACTCGTCCGTTTCCCCCACAATCTGGGCATTTAGGAGCAAGTGCGTCCGGTCTCCCACAACGGTAGCAAAAAACCCTTCGCTGCTTATCTAAGCAATTCCTCCAGTCGTGTCCCTGCTGGCTACAGTTCCAACATCCAGGCCTTGAACTTGACGATTTCACCCGAATCTCGTCGACCTCCGGCTCGACTTTGGCTTTCTCCTCGAGATCGTCACATATGGCACTAACGTTTTTACCTGGTCCCGCGTATTTTGCCTGCGTACCATATGCTAAACGAGAACCACGCTGTCCCAAGCTTGATTCAACCTCGTTACACTCTTCCCGCAGGTGATCAACAGAGTATACATCCATTGCATAGATGTATCTCCCAACCGAATCTCTCAGGCCTTTTTTGATCAACTTTATCAGTTTAGGCTCTGGCAACGGTATTTCCAATCGGGAGGCCAAAACTCGTCATCGACTGAATAAAGTCGTTTACCGATTCCCCAGGGAGTTGTTGACGCTGCCTCATTTCTTGCAAGCGATCGACGTCGTCCCAACTTCCGCGAAACCTTGCAAAGAGCGCCTTTCGGAGTTCATCCCACGAGTATATTGGTCGTTGCCTCACGTGGAGCCAATACCATTCTCGGGCTCGCCCCTTTACTAGCACGTGGAAGTTGCTGAGGATTTCGTCCCACGGACACTGGAATTGTCTCTTTAGGTATTCCACCTTAAAAACGAAATCCTCCACGGACCCTCTGTCATTCGAGCCGTCGAATGACACTTCCCACTTATCCATCTTGACCCAAGGTCGACCCGAGTGATGCTCGATATTCGGACGACGATGGTTCGCAGTTCCCCGATTTCCTTCAATTGTCGACGACTGTCTGAAATTTCTGCTTCGGTTATTTTCCCGTTGCCTCTGGTCCGGATCTGGGTTGCGCCATTCCCACTCACAAGCACGACTTAGTCCGCTTGAGGTGGTTGACCTCTCTGGCTTTGTCGGCGGCTTAGGAGGTGGTTTGGTGGTCGAGCGTGATTTTGGGATAGCCCCCTGATGTGGCTTTTGCTGTTGACCAGACTCAGCACTAGCAGTTTCCGTTGGCGCCTGGCTACGAATCACGGGTGGTGGCGTCGGTCTTACTATATCGTTTATAGCTTTCAGCATTTCTTGAAACCCTAGACGCACTTCCTCCCGCAATGCTTTCGCTATCCCTGTGTCCATTGACTGCCTGTAGGTTTCCTGAGCTTGCAAAATCGCAACGTTAATCGCAGACACTATCTCGGTGTCCACTGCTGCCTCGGGCTGTCTAACCGCGTCGCGGTCTTCTCGTGGCAAGTTAAAGTCGGTAACTGGAGCTAATGGCCTTACAGGGGATCTTACTAATCCGATGCCCCCCATTACTCCTGCCCCCGCGACTTCCCAAGAATCGGAGTACGCAACGCTGTTGCCCCCTGACCGCAACTGATAGGAATGACTCGCTTCCATCTCCTTGGTTTCCCTTCCCGTCATAACTAAATTTATTCCTAATATTATCACCTAAACTATTAACTGATAAATAACGACAAGACAATAACACAACACGCAATATAACTCAAGTACTTTAACAATCAAACTTATAAGGGAGAATCACCTTTAGCCGGTGCTAATCGTCATTCCAACCTACGTCGTTAGCCAAACTGTTCACGCTCAAACAGACAAACAAAAATTTTTTATGAAGACATTAACTGGTTCGATCGTCAGCTTTGCTGACGGTCCCCATTTGATTAAGTCCTTTTGGGCACGTTTCCGGTCAAATTTGTTTGCCGACACGATGTCCATCGGTAGAGTGCAGCGCATGGTTACATCTCTATTGTACCATGGGTCACTCTATCCTAACAGAGTCTCGCTGTCGACACCCAAGTTAGCGGAAACACACTTAACAAAAATTCTAACAAAACTTTACCCGTATGTGCATACTATTTTAATAAAGAAAAAACCCTATGCATGGTGCAATTGAACTGCTCATTTTGAACGAACAAGCCACCCTTGCAATTTTCTTTCCCATTTAAACCTAGCACTAACACTTAAAACAAGACTTCAGGGTACTCTCAGGGTCGCCTCCACCGCGCAATTGCTTTGAGAGCATCTTCTCCATAGTAAGTCGCGGTTTCGTACGGCGCGAAGAGTAGCCATTCGTACTGCGAGGACTCGCCTTTTCGGTTTATTTATAATTTCCGGTTTTTTGATTTCATCTCGCATGCGCTGATCGCTTGAACCTGCTTCTTAAACCACGGTTCTCGCGATCTTGATGATTTCAAAAAAAAACCATTGGGCGCCATTCTTGTAACACGTCCAGTGTTTCGCAGTGGGCAACCTCGGCTAGCTCAGTATTCCCAGAGGTGGGTAACTCCAACCCTGCCCGTGGACGGTACAGACAAAAAAAACTCGACCTGCACAACACTACATAAAGACCTACATGCACACACAAAAACAAACGAAACAGCTGACGGGCCTGGTGTTTATGGCCACGACGTACCCGCCCTTCCTGCAATGGGCTTGCACGGATTCGAATTGCCCATCGCCCTTATTGTGGTTGACGACTAATTTATTCCATGCTCCCGGTGATTCTCCCCTGTATTTAACTTACTCACAGATCATCGTTATTTCCTTACAATTTATTAACAAACATTACATGCTATGAAGTATTAATTACTGAATACGCCGCTAGGTAGCGTTGTATTCTGCAACGGCTATTCAATTTTGAATTTAAATCGGGAATCTTGCCAAATCCGATAAAACCAAAATAAAAAAAATGGAACAAATATGACGATTACTTTAGGTGGTCCTCAATCCCTATCCTACCCTATTAGAGCTCCAATATAAGTATTCGGTGTATGGGGGGCTCGTGCAAAAAGAAATGGATTCTGCAATTTGGCAAAAATCCGGACGCCGGATTTTGTTGACGAACACGGTCAACTTAGAAATTTAAATAATTATTAGATGCATGAATAAATAAATACAGTAACGTAAATAACGAATAACTTAACACAACATTCAACAAATTTGCTTAATCTAACATTCACATTTACATAAATATACTGGAGTAGGGGTGGGTGTGCTAGAGCACTGCTCACATGCGCGCAGTCGACTCGCACCCTTTTTTTCTTGACATGTGTTTCTTTTTTTTTGTCTTTCTTTCTTTTTACAATTTGTAATTTAATTTGGACTCTGGGTCGATTGCGCGTACTGCGCTCGAGCTACGCGGCTGGTTACTAAAGGCTTATCCCGATGGCACTTATTCCACATCGGAACGCACTCACCGGCTGAAGAAATACCGTCGGTGCGCTTGCGCGCTGCCAATATCAGGGGATGGTGTATTCGCCCAGTTTTTCCTCGCAGTAGCTTCGAGGGCGTATCCAGCAATCTTTGCGCGACGGCCAGGTCCTTGTTGCATCGACTTCGGAGCATATGACATAAATTGCACAATTGCGGCGTGACCTGCCGTCGGCCACCTAAACATAACCCACAAAATTAGCGCAGCACAACATTTATTCAAACAGACACACTTACGCCGAATTTGGCTTCACAAGGTCTAGCGAATATGGAGGGTCAAGGCACTCCTAAATGTACTTCACCATTCGATCCGCACGGCACACAAATTTAAGCGCTATGGACCACGACCTGCCTCACTGCGTTTTTTTTTCTTTTCCACATGTGTTCTCGTCCCTAAGCTTAAACGCGCCACCTTGCGGAGAATGTCCTCACACGTTGCTGACCCTGCCAACTTGTTCCCGCTTTTCAGCAATGTGGCCCTTTAAATCTCACTTTTGGTTGTGGCATACGAGAATTGAGTATCGATATGTCTGCAAATGCAACATGCAAGCATAAATAATGTTTTTATAGATGCGAAATTACTGACTAAGCAATTTTAATTTTACACAAAAAAAAAAAATAAATTTTTTTTGCCTCAAAAAAAAGGAAAAAAAAATTTTTAAAAAAAAAAAAAAAATTTTTTTTTTAAAAAAAAAAAAAAAAAAAAAAAAAAAAAAAATATATAAAAAAAAATAAAATTAAAAAAATTTTTAAAAAAAAAAAAAAAAAAAAAAAAAATTAGTTTTGAATTTGATTGTGATCTGCAATTTTGTTTGGTATTTTAGTATTTTGGTCATAGATACTGTCATATTTATCCACTTGCACAGTGTGGCTATTCCAAACCACAGCGTTGCCATATCACTGAAAACAGTTAAAGATGAAGTGGTTAGACGCGCGCTCTTTTCCCAGCATGATAAAAGTAAATGTAAAAGGAGAGCAGTGCAGCACTCTCTAAGAGCGCGAAAACTATGCAAGGGTGACGTCAGAAGTTCGCCGTATTCAATTGGTGAGCTGCTTTAACACACAACATTTTGATAAGTTAATTAAATTGAGAATGGTTTTGTTTCTTTTTATGCCAAATATGTGTTATTTTAATTTTTGGTAAACATAAAGACATGATCAAATGACGTGAAATTACACACATTTACGTTACCTTATCAATTATGCCCTATGCTTCGTCGGTTTACTTTTGGATTTTTTTTGCTTCTGTTGCCCGCTTAGTTTCATTTTAGACTTCCTTGTGCATGGTTGTTGGCGTTGTTTCTGTGTTTTCTTTTCGGATATGATTTGTTAGATTCGATTCCGGTGCGTGGGTAAATGTACATGTTCACATTAAAGAGAAGCATAACATTCATCATCATCATCAGCAGCAGCATCTACCCTAGCTAAAAAAAAAGCACAACCTTCCCTAAACATCGGTACGCGCGACGATCACTTCGATATATGTAGAAAAGCTCGTGAGTGTGTGTGTGTAGTGTATGTGTGTGTGTGTGAAATTCTTTAAATTTAAGCAAAATTCCATCGCTGCACGCTGCTCGCCAAGTTCGCCGGCCTGAAATCATTGGCGGTAAGTTCGCATCGATTTTCTGTTAGCAACTTGTTGTGCACCCACATTTTATGTTCTCTTACGTTCAGACAAATTAGTCATTAGGTTTTAATTAAAAAAAAAAAAAGAAGAAGAAAAAAAAACGGTCTCCTGTTTCCCGCCGCGCCCAGCAACGCAACGCAAGAGTGAGAGACGGGGAAGCAACAGCCAAAATTAAGAGAGAAAGAGAGTGCACGTGTAAGTGCCGCACGTATTTCTGCTCTTATTGGGCGCGTATGTGTGTGTGTGTGTGTGTGTGCGTGTGTGTGCGTGTGTTGTATGTTTGTATGTGCGACGAGAATGAGAGTGAGAGCGCCGCGTAAGCATGGACGTACGAATGGGGCCTGCCCTTTTATAGGGGGTTGAGGTGCGTTAATAACTGTTAATTGCAGTTGAAGTCCGCATGGGTAAAATAAATCCATAATGCTGTGTGTGTGTGTGGTGTGGTGGCCCGCAGCTAAAAACATGGCTGCCCTTGCGAATTCCAATGGCCATTTCCTTTGTTAACTGCAGCAGTGTATGCAAATGTAAATGCGGTCTCTGACTCCGCTTTATTATGCTGTCAATTGCTTGGCACACATTCAGTTATGTCAATTCATATTTGTTGCATCACGCGCCTCTCCCTCAGTCAACGTCAACCTGTCAGCCAGTGGACAGTGAAGTGCGCTTGGTGCGCGCCTGCGCAGCCCTGAGTTGCATTTTGTTTTTGCCGATCAAGAAAGTTTCACCTGTCCGCAATGCGGAAGCGTCGCCAATCGTTAATTAACCAGTCGTTAATCGAAATTGCAATCGAGCAATGCAGAAGGTCAACAATGCGACTAAAAGCTTAATTTATGTTCTTGTTTTCCTTTTACTATTGTGCGAGAGATTTCCAAGTGTAAAGTCATTTTAGCTGGAATTAATTGCCCATCAGCCAATAAAACAATCTGAATACAAAACAAAAAAAAAATGAATAAATTCCTGTTGCTTACAATTAGTAAGAACATTACACCAGTCACTTAAGGGGGATAACTTAGCACTTACGTCATTTGCAAATTGTAAAATCAATAAACTTGAATTGCTCTTAATGCGCTTAAAACGGTTGGCTAAAGTCAACCAATGGCAAATCAAAAGTCCCAAGCACAAGCTCAAGCCCAAGGTTCAAGTTCGTACATTTTCAATCTGTCCATCTTTCCGCTGTCCGCTGTCCGCAGTCCGCTGTCCAACCACATATCCACTTGTTACGCCTCTCCTCCTTAGCGATGCGATGTGAATGTGTGCGGCACTTTTGCTGAGAGCATCAGTCGTCTGATGAGTCTCAGTGCATGGCGTGGAGAGCGTTCAAAATATCGTATCATATAGAAATTTCATTTTAGCACCGCCAACGTTCAAAGTCCAAACCGATGGGCAAAACATACACATCCATATGCATCTATATATATACTTATGTATATATATATGTGTGTGTGTGTGCGTGTGTGTGTGCGTGTGTGTGTGTTTGTTTGTATATCTTTATGTGGGTCTTGGCGTGGCGTGGTCTGGTTTGATTATGTTTGATGCCATCGTGCGAGTATAATTGTATTTTAGTACATACATATATATGTATATCTCGCATATGAATGTACATATATTTCTATATATGGATGTATGTAGGTCTTAGCCTCTCATGCTTGATAAGCACTCTTTGGCACTGCTATTAGCCAAAGTTCTTTCAACCGGTTTGCCCACAAGTAAAAGATCTTTCACCTAACAATACTCGAATACGAAATACCTCGCAACATTTTTAACACATTTAAAACTTAGAAAAAAATACATTTTTAAAAATAAATCGAATAAGAAATACGCCGGATGATTCTCTAATACACTATGTTGTTAAATGACATAAACTGCAAAGGATTTAAAACTTAAAAAACAAAAATAAAAATGGTGTCAGGCATACATGAGAAAATAAGAAATTCGAATATATAATTTGGAGAATTATATATGTACATTAAATTGATTTAATTAGCGTTAAGAATGTTCAGCTTAAAGTCATAACTGATTAACAAAATATATATAGCCATGCATATATCAGAAGAGGTCAGCTTTTTACATATGTTTGCTGTGTTTGTCATATCATTTCGCACAAAATTGATCAGTGTAGGGTGCTCAAGAATGATTTTGCAGAAATCAATCCGATTCTGTGTCGGCTGGCTGCTGCGGCACGTCTTTACAGTTATTGTGTTTGACCACAAAAATTTGAATCGCATCACAAAAGCAACAAAGACAACGGCAACAGCAAAAGCAACAGAGACAAAAACAGAACTGCCTTCGCAACCACCTGTTGCTCCACTGTGAATACAAAAGATGCCGTTAACTGTGTCTGCCGCCGCAGCACTTGAGAGTTTTCTTCGATGCGACAGACATTTGTGGCACCACCACCTGGGGAGCTGGAAACGATAAATATATTATGAACTGAAATAGTTTTTTTGTTGTATTATTTTTATATATAAAAAAATATAATAAGATCACAACGATTTTATACATGCATATATATTTATATATATAATAAATATAATAAAGTGAATACGATATGGATTCGATTACAGTGCTGCAATTTTGCATAACTCTATTAATTTGATTTAGCACAATCTGTTTATATGTTGGAACTTGGCCATTATCGATCTTAGTCAAGTTGAAAAAAACCCTTTTTCATTTAAGGAGAACTTGCTGAACTGCTTATTTATACTGCCTTTTTTAGTTTTGATTGAATGAAAACCGTTTTTATTTAACTGCCCTTTTTAGTTAGAATGGAATAATTCTCAAAAGACATTTTGCTTTTTTTTTTTTTTACTTTTATTTACCTTATTTTCTATAATTTGTTGTCTTAATCGCCTTTTATGGAGTGACATGTCAAAAAATGTCCAAGATATTTATTATATTTGTCCAGATGCGTGTTACATCGTGGCCAGCTGGCAACCGGTTGAATCAGCGAACAATCTCTTGCAGTGTTTTGTTAATGCTTTCATTAAAGTTAATAGGGCTATCTCAATTTCAAAGTTTTCGCACATTAATTTGTGGGGATGGCCTTCGTTTTTTGCTCTTGTCATTAATTATGCATTCATATATTAAGTATTAAGGTTTGTAGTATGCATATGTAATTTTATTGGGGTCTTTACCAGCCTAGGTTTGGGCTGGTTTTTGTTTTGGGCACACCTGTCTGCTTTAGGCAATATGCAAGGTCTCCGCCCTAGAAAGCTGAACTAAATCTAAGAATACGATAATAAATCAATATATATATCTATATATATATATACGATAATAAATATATATATATATTTATTAAATATAAACGAGCACTGCATATTATCGGTCTTATAAGCAAGTGAAACTTTCCAGCTAAAACCCCAATTTTGATCGCGCATATCAACAACGGTAACCGAGACGAGTACATGGCCAAGTTGAAAGCAAAGGGCCGTCGGACGGCTATCAACTTGAATTGGCTATCTGGCTCGGACTACTTGCGCTTTCATTACAACATCAGCAAACCCAAAAAAAGAAGAAAAAAAACCCAAAAAATTGAATAAAACAAAAAAATGAAATAAAAGCTCGCGTTGGCTGGCGAATCGTACGATCGATTCAGTGTTCCAGCAACCGCTGCCTTTATTTAACTTTTGAATCGCTTGGAATGCCAAGTATTTCAGTACATTTTGGCTGCAAGTCTTTCGCAGCGGCTCTTGGCTCCCAACTGGCCCCACGTCAGTCACGCACCTGAGCAGTTTTTGGGGTGTTGAGCTACTTTGGGGTCCGTTTAGCTGTGTCTGTGCTTTTTTAACGCTTACTTTGTGGCCTCTTTCTTTGAACAGAAAAAGAGATGAGCAAAAAAACGTACAAAATGATTGGGTGCAATAAATGAATCGACTCTTCACACAAACTTTATTACAAACCGATTATCCATATTATAATCATAACCGGAACGCTTTTTTCTGTTCTTTTATATATATATATATATCTGTGTATATATCTTTACGTAGCTTTCAAAATATTGCTTTAAACTTTTAGCTGTTAGTTATGTTTGCACTCAAAGTGCGCTTGGCTAAGGCACCAATAATTAGTGATTCTAAAGTGCAAATATTTAATCTAATGGTCCTGGCCCTTAGTACCGACATTATTAATGTGTTTGTTTTATTGTGCAACAAGCAATTAGCTACATTTTAACACTACAATTTAAAAGGGGACAAATTTCGAGACTTGCGATCTCTAGCGAAAAAAACTTGTGAACCCATTTCTTATGCTAATTTTCAGCGCATCAAAAATGAATTGATTCTCATTTTTGTCTTGTTTACCAGGCCCACGTGTGTGTTTATTTATGTGCTTGTGTGTGTTATGTGTGTGGGATATGCAGGTGATTATTATCGACCTCCGCGAGTATGTGTGCTTGTATGCCCAACTCATTCATAAATAAAACGTTCGTTGGCCGACGTTCGGCGAGCAATATCATCCACAATAGCAACAAACACAACGACGACATCCACACGCATTTAATATCCACATCGGCATTCATATCCACATCCACATCCACATGTTCCTCATAATAAGGCTTGTGAGTGCGCCATTTTGTTTGCATTTGATATCAGCGCCATCTAGCGCTAATGAGCCGTGCATACACACAAATACACGCATTTTGCGCAGAGACAACTAACCAGTCAATACCAATAACAACAGCAATAGCAACATCAACAACAACAACCACAACAACAACCACAACAAAAATAACAAGTCAAAGTCAAACCAGTTGAGGGTCAAAGTTTTACATCTATTGCTCATCCTCCCAAATTGATAGATATCTATTTCGGCATTTGCCGTAATCCAAATCTGACCATGAAATTCATTTGCTACGTGTTGTTGTTTCCGTTTTGTAAGAAAGCCAATTTGCTTTTGATGTGTCTTCTTCTGATTTTGTTTGTTTTGTTTTTTATGTGTTTTTGTTTTTGTTTCGTGCGATTTGTGCAATCATTTCGCAC